ACCATGTGGCATCTGAATCATGGCGCGAGAGCCCCCACTGCCGCCCCGGAAGATGGCAGCTTGGAGGACATTGTAGTTGTTCTCGTTTTCCCGCTGCACCTGACGTGTGAGGCACTTGGAAATGGTGCCTCTCTCGGGCCCTGGCGGCGGGCTTCCCCTCAAAACATGACCAGATTCTGGTAGGCCAAGTCGTCAGCATTTTCACACCGTTCTCACCTTATCGCACCCCACCCCTTTGTCTCGCGCCTTGCTGTGCAAATCGGCCCGTTCTGCAATCAGCAGCCGGACGAGCTCCACATGGCCGCGGCTTGCAGCCAAATGGATGGCCTCTCCAGTGCAGAGCTGATCAATCCTCGGAGCGCAAGGCTGCAGACCTTTGGGGGCTGCAGCATTGTTTAGAATAGATATGTCCAGATCAGAAACTGCAGATGTACCTACTGTATGAATGGTGTCCTTAAAAGGCTCCTGGCCTTTTCAAGCACCATAGCTGAAAGAAGACCTTGTGGCTCCGTCCTGCAGAAAGGGAGGTAGATAAAACTACTTTTCAGTGCAGGCAAGGCTCTGCTTGTAAGGAACCAGCCACGCATATTTTGCATTGATGTTGGCATCTGGATGGTCCAAGCAAGATTCCACAAGCTCTTTTGAGCCATCTAAGGCTGCTCCGTGCAGCCTCTGTCCCCAGCAGGTCCTTCGAGTAGGCACATGTGGTTGAAATGACACGGGGTGCAATAGTCTGATAGTCTAATTGATTGTGCTGCTGGATTAGTCACTTGCTCGACCTGGTGGAGATCTTTGAGCCTCCGACTTCTCATCAAGGACTCACCGTGAACCCTCAAGTTTTGAGCGCTTGGATGCTCAAGGGCCACCCCAACACCACCCCTCCGGGCGCTCCTATGGTTCCATGTGAAGGTCACCCCATCTGGACCATTACCATACCTTTTGGCTAACTGCCGGTTGCTTTCGCCATGCCTTCGCACCAAATGGCCAGATTCAGTTGTCTGGCCAGACTGGAGAAAGGACTGGTCATACGAAAGGTCCATGGCGAGCCGACGAAGCTGCCGTTTTTGAGCCGACCAACGTGGCATTCGAACTCCAAGCCATGAAGGCGACCGGGTCTCACCTATTTGGAAAATCTTTAAATACATTTGAATGCATGGTAGGGCCTCACTGCAGGCTTTGCAAGCCATCTTTTCAGATCAAAGTTTTCCTCCAAGCTCTTCCATGCCTTCGCCAGGACCAAATAGGCACCGCAAAGGGTGATTGTGTTACCTGGCTTCGGAATTCAACTGTCACGCCCCAGAGAAGAGGCAAGCCACAATGTATTGTTTCTTTGAACCTTTGACATCCTTTGACTATGAAGTCCTTGACTAATTCAATTCTTGTCAATGACTAAGACGAAGGACATGTGGCAGAAACATGACTCCTCCAAACAAACGACCCCGGCAAGGTCGACCAAAACCACGAGGCGGCTTGTTTCAGCCGGCTTCCAACCCAAGCTGCTCCAGCACTCAGGTCGCTCCGTGGTGATGTGCACCAGGGCATTTTGGGTGTGCGTCTGAATCAAGGCGTCCACCCAACGGCAGTAGGTCACAGTGGCACAAAGGTCCAAGGGTCCAAAGTCGCGGCCCGGATTGAAGGAGTTGTAGCTAAACTCCTGCTTGTCCTGAGGTTCGCTAGATTGGCAAAAAGTGGCAAATAGGCAAACTTGAAGATGACATGGCTCTGGGATGATTAGTTCCAGCCAAGCGTCATCCGTCGCGTATGCCACCACCTCAGCAACTCGCTAAGAAATGATGTGTTTTTGATGTGGATTGATGTTCTATACTTCAATCTAACAGCATGCATTTCTCCCTCTCCCTCTCCCCCCCTTCTTCCTCCCTCTCTGTCTCTCTCTCTCTCTCTCCCTCACAAAAGACCAAGGCTGCTGCGAGCTCTGTTGAACTCTTTTGCACGCATTGTCTTCTGTTTCCTCTATTTTGTATGTGACCTGCAACCCTGTACATCTGGTTCAGTGCTATTGGTGCCTTGAGCCAACATGTTCAGGAACCTCTCTCTGCTTAAACAAATCGAAGGCTGTATCTCTACATCTCTCCTTTGGTGATGCACGGCCAACTCAGCTGCCTTCAAACTACTACAGCTTTTGATCTTTGTCAAATCTTCTCGCCTCCAAGTGATCCCTTCAAAACATTGAAGATTGACTTGCATCTGTCCTCACCTGTGTTTGGTTGGCTCATGATGCTGGTCTGGGTCAACATGATTGTTGCTTTTTGTTGGGTCCTAGTGCTGTCGCCTATCTCAGGAGCTGCTTTCAGTCTTTCAGTTGTGCAAGCGCTCTTCTTGACCTTGTCTATCCTCTTAGGTCTCCATCACCTTTCCCTGTCGGGTCCGGTTGCACTCTCTCTCGCCTGCAAGTCTGTGTCCACTTGTCTCCGGTGCTTGAGAGGTGGCATACCTGCGCCAGGGGTGGCGCTGGCGTTGATCATGATTTCTGCTGTGATTGAGGTCTTCTTTGACTGACCTGTTCCTTGGTGAGCAATGGCCAGCGGTTCTTCTGTTGTGTTAGCTGCTGGTGCTGCTGGTCTTGTCCTTGAAATTCCAGGCTTGACCATGAACCACTCTTCTCCTCTCCCCGCATGTCCTTTAAGGACTTCGCACTGAAGGAGCTCTCGATGAAGTCCTCCGTGTTGTCGCCTGTTCGATCCTGTTCGTCTGGCAGTTGTTCGTCTGTCTTTCTCCAGCCGTCTGGCGTGGGCGCATTTTCTCCAGTGCATGAGACTTCCAATGTCTTCACCAAGTATCCCTCTCTGTAGGTCCACTGGTCTGACCTTCCTCCTAAAGGAGTGTAGAGTGTAGACAATCTGCTGTGAGGGTGGTTACTGGAGCAATGCCTCAGTTTCCACCTGTTGCTCGTTCCGTCTTCATGCCACGCGGAAGTTGAACGATTCTCGTCGGGTAGGGTGGCTGTTGAAGACTTACTGTGCAAGCTGTGTCACCGACAGGATTGGTGCAAGTTGCATGTGTACAATGTATGCTTTCTACACGCAAGCCGACTTGCATCCCTGGAGTTCGACGTTGTCATTGGTTGCTGACCTGAGTCATGGTCCTTGTTTGTCGTCAAGCTTGTACCATGGTGATCTTGGTCCAAACCATGGTGGTGAGGGGTCCTCACAGTGCACATTTGTACACTTCACACTTCTCTTCTCCGTTCCCTTCTTCTGCTTCTCCTGTTGTGGCTGGTCTCGTCTTCAGTCCTTTTCTCCTTCCTCTTCTATGCTCTCTCTTTCTCTCACTCTCTACTAGAAACAAGGACACTATTAGGTGGAGGCCATCGCTACTAGTAACAAGAAGCTACTAGCAACAAGGACAAAGTGTTTCTCACTCTTTGCCAGCTCATCTTGTTGTGTCTGGTCTTCTTGTGCTTCTGCCATTTGTCCGCCACCGCTCCACGTGCCTCTTGCAGAGCTTGCTGCAGCCTGGATTAGTAACAAGTGCATCGCCTGCTATTAGTATCAGGTGCATTACTACTAGTAGCTCCTGGCATTACTACTAGGAACAAGAAGCTACCAGGAACAAGGGCATCGCTACTAGTAGCTCCTGGCCTTACTAATAGCGGAGCGAAGCTACGAACGTAACAAGGGACCCAACTGAGTTGGTCGCGGAGCGGCGGAGCGAACTGAGACAACCCCGAGTGGCGCTGCAGAGGCGGACCGGTAGGAGATTGCTAGGGGAGTGTTGACGTACGGACCAGTGGTGTGTAACACTAGTGTAACACAAGCAAGCACCTGGATCACGTGCTGCTTTCTCTTCTCCCGTGAGCTGTATCTTTATATACACCATCTCGCTCTCTCTCTCTCTCTCCTTCTGTCACTTATTCTTGGAGCAACAATGAAGAAACGATATATCTGGGCCGAGGGCTAGGTTCGTACAATTGAAGTCGCCCGAAACAAGCCATGCCACCAAGAGCTGATGTTTCATGATTAGATGTTTCATGATGGTTCATGTTTTGGCATAAGTGTACTTTTGCCATTTTCCGGATACCAAACCATGGTCTTCTGGTTCTGTGTTCTCCTGTTGAAGAAGCGGAAACTGGCTGATGCCAAGTGGCGTTCTGTTGTGGACATGCATATGCAGGTGCCCAAAGCAAGTGCACATTTCCCTCTCGCAGCCAGCTGATGGGCTGCATCGCCATCGCTGCTCATCCGAGGGTCTACACTCCAGGACACCTGTGACACCTCTCAATATGCTTTCCGTGTGCGTCGGTATTCTGCGTTTCTCAGAAATGGAGATCTCCATCTTGGCTTTCTCAGTTTCCCCCATGTCATGCTTCCTCATGAGAAATAGTTACAGTGCAGTAATCGTTTTTGGCGTCTGAATTGCCTTGCCTTGCAAAGAATGCCCTTGTCTTGGCACCAAAAAAACCTTAGCCTGTGTCATCCGCAGGATCTTGAGACACTTGGTGCAATTGATCGGAATCGTGGGGTGCATGGCATGTACGGTACATCACTGTCACACTCCATGCGCCCAACATAGATCTAAGCCTTAAAATGTCTGGAATCAGTTGGCCCCAAGCATGGCCTGACATCGGCAGGTGGCGAGATGGGCGTGATATCATTCCATCCTAGCACATTCATGACCTGTGCTCACCTCGCTTTGGCTGAGCCACACGTTCACAGGCAGCGGCCGCCAATCAAACATACGTGTAAGGGCTTGGCCCTTTTGGTTGAAGCTGCCCAAGTGGAGAGGGAATTCTTCCTAGGCTTTATCGTCTTCACATGACACATTCCAGCTATGAAGACACGGGCTTTTGAAGGAGGCTCCAGGGGCCAGTTGATAGATGTTCACCTTGAAGAACTCCACACCTCTCCAAACCCACATGTTGTCGTGGCTTGAGGCTTACAAGCTGATTGAATCTCGAGTCTTCCACTCTCCACAACCAATCTCCTCACTGATTTCCCTGGCCGCCATTCCCCACCCACTTTCCAACACTCGAGTTTCCCCGCAAGGCCAGTTCCTGGAAGAGAGCCGGTGGCCTCAACGCGTCAACTCGGTATGAAATGCGCCAGTCGTCTGGAAGGACAAAGAAGTTAGGAAGGAGAAAGGCAACCGAGGCCAAGACACTATGCCAACAGCGCGGATGAGAACTTCTAACGCCTATATATAGTCACCGGAGAAGGGTGTTCTATGCCCCAGCTTACCAAGCAACGCCTGGTGTTCCCGGCCGATGTCGTCACCAATCCGGCCGGATGTCGATCAAAGTCTGCTCGCCAAGTGCCAAACCAATCAGCTGTCACGTCCCCACACCTGCACAGGGCCCCGAGATGGAATATGCATCGGACTGTTCGAAGAAGCTGTTCATGAGCGAAACTCCACGAAGGAGCAGCAAGGACAAGTCCCAAAGCTACAAAGCGTCTATATGAGTGACTTGGTCATGGCGTTGATTGAAGTTGCAGTTGGTCACCTTGTGAAACATTTCGAAACGTCATCAAGCTTCATCAGGAGAGTCGTCTTTGATCCTCTCAGTTGGCCCATGTTGCTTCCACATGTTCCACACGGTTGGGACCTCATGCGCTCGAGTGCTCCAGGGCAGTTGGGTGCAACACGCTCAGCCTTGGACACACGCATCGGGGCCAAAGGCGCCGGGAACTGTTAGGAGGTGAGCAAAGAATGCGTTTGATGCAGCGAAGTCATCCGCAGTCTGCTTGGCAGCTGTGCACGGCTGGGAAACAAAATGACCAGTGTGAGCTCATTGCACTAGTCCAAAGCATCACTAAACAGCACGCTATGGAGAGCGAACGGGTCATTGTATGCGCTTTCCGCTTTCGTGCTCTGACTTTGAGACACTTTGAGACTGGCGCAATTGGATAGGAGATGCCTCGGAGCAATGCAGAACTGCAGGACAACTCTTGCTGCAAATGCTTAGCACATGCCTCAACTCTGCAAAAGTGCATGATAGCGGTCAAATGGAAAGACTGCGCGCATCTGCATTTGAAAAGACTGCTCCACGTGGAAAACCCGAAACATCTGAGCCTCCTGGAGCTGAAGGGTCAGTGGACGAAGGCGCCAAGCCTTCGGGTCCGGGTACGATGCGAAGAGACGCGTCGAAGCAAAAGTTGCAGCAAAGGGGAATATTCCGAGTAAAGAAGTGTGACCAGGTGCACCCCCGTGCCCGCACAGCTGCACAGCTCCGCATAGCCATAGAAAGGTCACGAAAGGCACGCAGGACTTCAAACAGCCTCTAGCTACTGCATGCCAAGCTTTGGTCGCTCATTCTGCTGGAGTTCCGCCTGTCATGATCTCCAGCATGACCATGCCAAAGGAGTAGACCTAACCAGCGACACGTTGGAAATCCATGCTTTTGCGACATGAAAATTAATGCTCCAATCCAATGCAATCTTGTAGATCTAAAATCAGAGCGTTTGAATTGTCAACTATATGCTCTCTTTCTGGCACCTGTATTGTGTAAAATCTCTAGCTCTAACCAATGTATATCTAATCTGAACTCACCCAACATGGCCAAACTAAATAGAAAATGGGCCTTCCACCCAGGATTCAGTGGCTTGATTGCCAAAAAACACGCCACCTCGAACTAAATAAGGTCAGTTGAGTCACTTGGTGCTCATTTACCTCGCGGATGTGTCAAGGGCTTCCTGTTCCAACTATATTGGCACCACACACAAAGCAATCACGTGTTGACGCAACATTAGTATTAGTATTAATTATGGGATCTCTTCACAGTATTATGGGAACCCTTCACCAGGATGCATGCACTTGCACACGCTCTCTCGCTCGCGTGTTCACGCCACGCTGACGCAAGTTGTGGCTGTGGGATGGGTCGCGGTGAGTCGAACCACCGCGAAATCCGCAACACCCATCTCTGCCCAAATCACCGCTTCGCGTTCGGAATGAGGAAATCTCATGCGGTCTCTAGAGGGGGCTCAATGCCTCAGACATCCTCAAGACTCATTCCATCTCATTCCCTGCCCGCTGCCCGAGTCCCTCACTTCGGAGCCCTCGGTGCAGCGGCCCGAGCGTTCGTAGAGCGGGCCTGAGAGGTGGCCCACGTGCCCCGGTTCTTCCAAATATCAAACAGATGTGAGCTGTGCTCAAAAAGTGTGGCAAGCCCACTACTAAACATGAACAGGGAGGTTCTTAGCGCAGCTCATGTATCTCACTGACTTGCTCACCCTCTCAGACCTGATTCCCGTCCCATGGGCTGTTCATGCAGGTTTACGGTTTCTATATGTTTCTATGACCCGCCATAATGTCCAGCGACTTGCTCTATGATCCAGACACTTGTAGCCTGGTGTCCCTCCAACGCTCTTCACCTGGCAGCGTCGGATTATATGTGTGCAGCATGCGTGTCCTTGTCCTGAGCCCTTGTGCAGTAAACCAGGCTTTAGCTTGAATGGAAGTCATCAAACTGCAGTCAGCTCCACAAAGAATGATTGAACACCTTTTCTGCTTTGATTCACCCTCTCAAGGATCTGAGCGTTGAAATCACTGATAGACCTCCATCTTACAAAGCTTCTCGCTGATCATGTCTGGGCATGCTTTGGGCTCTGCTTTTTAGGATTTCTTCTTTTCTCCTTCAACATCTGGGCACTTGCAAAGCAGCAGGACACCATGGAGCCATCATTTGCAGTGTCCAAAAGGGCTCGGGGAGGGGCGGGTAAACACTGGTGCCCATGCCATCACACTGTCGCACTGATCTCTGGAACGCAGGTGTTGGAACATGATTGCAAAATCCTACAGTATGACATTTAGCATCAGCATAACTGCTGACTGTTCATCAACGACGCTGGTGGTGTCCGGCGAAGTGTTTGTGAACATGCGCATGTCACGAGAAATTCCTGGGCAGCACGTAGTAGCCTGTGGGGCCAACCAAGCGATCTGAGGCGTGGGAGGTCCATCACACAATCCAAAACATGCCAGCGTAGCAGTCACGTTTGATGCACCGTTCTGACTTGTGCAAGCCAAACCTCATAGAGCGGGAGAGAAGGTGGGAAAGCTCCCCAGACCGGCAGATTCCGGTCAGCCCGAACGCTCTCTCAATCGTTCGACCCTAAAGAAAAGTGTGCCGTTGGCCCTGCTGGTGATGCTTTCACGTGTTCTTGTACAACAGTTTTGGAACGGTTTGGACCTATTCGCACGCCAACAGACTCGCAGTCCGCTTTTCCCATCAGGTCTCTCTCAGCAGGCAGATTTGAAGGGGTTGCCACAAATGATAAATGATCACAGTCAGGATCATTTATGACTATATACTCAATCAGTCAGGGAATGTGCTTTGGCAACCACCGCAAGGCTATGACCAAAAGCATCATTGCTTTCAACGAGGCTCCGCAACTAGAGACAGCATGTGGGTTGGAGCGTCTCCCAAGCTTGATGGGGCCAAAGGCCTTACAGCCCCCTCCGGCTATCTGAAGCGTCCTCCGGATCCAGAAAATCCACTTCCTCCACACCAATCCCTCAGTGAATAGCCTGGCGGCCTGGCGCGCCAGGCGGTGCGCGAGGGGGCTTTGAGGAAAGACCGCTATAGGTTCCTGATACATCACTTTCAAATCCAACGGAACGGGGAGGCAACCCAACTACGATCCACATACTAGGAAGGATAACCAGTATTGTATGACCGCCAACGACCACAGTTCATAGGTCAACTTCGGCGTCGGTTTTGACACCCGGAGACACTTACAAATTTTGCTTAAATTTAAATCATCATCTTCCCTCATCATCTGACCACCCCTTTGTTGAGCAAAGAATCCTGCATCAGGTAAGAAAAAGGGCAACCGCAGCATTTGCAATGTGCCAGGGCCCCACATGGTGCAGCATTTCTTCCAGTACTAACTGTTGTGGCCTACATACCGGCTCTCCATCCGAATCCTCCACATCACCCGTTTTTGCCAACTGATGGCACAATACAGCTTGCACATGGCCAATGGAGGAGGCATCCTGTAATTGCAAGCTAAAGCATGGATCAATGAGCAAACGGCTCCTGTTGGGTGTATCATGGATCTCTTCCATTCACCATGGCGACCACATGCGACCACTGCCGCTCGATGGCGTTTCAAGTTCACACCAACAGGGAAGCATCATGCACCAAGTGCCAAATCCCTGTATCGACACAAGCGATCGGCTTATCACCAACCCACCAGGTCTCAATCGATTTGTACAAACCGCCCGGCGTGAAACGCCCAAGCTTTCCATGTTTCACTTTCCTCGGCAGCTTCGCCCGGGAAGCTACAAACACGAAGGCATATCATACTGTAACATTAGATGTGCCATGCGGCTTTGAACTCCGTGAGCCAACTAATTACATAATAGTATATGACATTGACCAGCAGTAATTATATAACTGTCAATGCTGAGTCAAGCTCCAAGAGTTGTTGGTAGAAAAGACATGTCTGGAACGGTTCAAAGGCCTACTTTGCAGACCTGGCGTCTTGTCAATCTCAGCACCTGGCGTCATGGGGCAGAAGCCCTTCCGGACCACCACATCCTTGTCGCTGCAGAGGTCCTTCCGTACGTTCACGTATCGTAGCCAGGGGCCTTGTTGTGAGAGCGACCAGTAGCCACGGATTTGCACAGTGATGTTGGAGATGGTCTCTTGGGCCAAAGACTTACCTTTCACCTGCAAGGTTGACCTAACCTCCAAAGGCAGGTTTCTGGTTAAACATTTGAAGCCCTACAATTTCCATGGAGACGTCGCATGCTTCTCTGAATGAAGCACGCATGATATGGTGCACTACTATATTAAAATATATTCGCATTGGGGAGTCAATATGCAAACTAACCCAGGAATATGTCAGACTCAAAAATATGTGGTTTAAACATGTGCATCACTTCCAGACATCAAAATAGTGTTCAGTTCACATGGAAAATCGGATGCTCATGCCACAGGGTGATCGAACTGGAGAGGTGTTCCCAACTCCGCCGGCCTCAATGGTGAAGAAAGGGTCATTGATATGTACCACATCGGCCTCTCCACGTGCATTGAGCTCCGTGACGTTGGTGAAGGTCACCAATGGCTTCACTGCAGAATACCTGACGGCCCCCGCGCACTCGCGCAGTGTCTGGAGATGAGGAAGTACTTGTGATGAAAGCCTACAAATTCTGGCCCCAGAAGCAACGAGGTGGGCATAAGACGGTATAAGTGGGTCAAGTCTGGAAAGCAAGAATCCTTGAGCTTAAACAAAGTTGCTTGGCATCTTGCTTGCAGCAGCCTGTCCAATCATCACCACAGTCCTTCCAGCCGCTGGCAGCTGCTCCAGTCACTAGCAGCCAAGCAATGATGGCCACCATGGTGAAAGCACCTTGCCCCCTGACTCAAAGCCTAAATGTGCAAGATTCACTGATTTGGGTGAACCGGAACATTTTCCAAAAGTGATGCACGCTACCTTTAATAAAGGAATCCTACATCAGGCAGCTCAAATGATATCCCAGTGAGGCACATACTTCAAAATGAAGCCCTGTTGGCATGACCGAAGAGTCAATCCATAAGCACGGAAGAGTCAATCCAAACATGATCGAATTGGAAAGTGCCTCGGAAGGAATAAGCAATGAAATAGTAGTCGTCCCAAATTGGGTTGTGTGAATATGTGGGCAACGCTGAGGGATCTTCCATAGTTCAAGGGAGCATTTTGATGTGGGCACTCACAGGTGTTTACAGGTTTTTGGGGTGCGGTGGTGGGGGCGGTAGGTGCCAAGCAATTTGCAGGTGTGTTTGGTCCTCAGGGTGATGCCCTTGTTACTAGTAGCTTCTAGCTACTAGTAGTAAGGCACCTTGTAGCTAATAGCGATGCCCTTGTTACTAGTAGCTTTGGGATAGTAAGCCCTTAATTAAGGCCTTCCAAAATGCCGGCATAGCTGCACAGCTCCACAGGCCCGCACAACGTGGCAATTGGTTTCAATAAACGTGGTTCTTCCGACTTCCGTGCTGATGATATACGACATGTGACATATGCATATTAATGTGCCCAAAGATTGACATCGTTGATGACCACCAACCAGCACCGGAAAACTGAAGACAATGCCGAATACTAGCGTGTTACAGTGCAGCCCTTTTTCACATCATCGCAGCCACCCTGGGGCCCCTTCGGAGCACTGAAAGAACTTCAGCATCTGCCAAAACGCTGCTTCTGCAGGCTTTAACAACCCGCTCTTTGCTAAGTCGGGCATCACGTCTTGGCAGTTGCTCATCTATATAAGCACTAAGCGCTTCCACGACAGTGCTCCGTCTACATATCTTCGCCTGCAGGACCCATGGGAGTTTTGGTCCGCAAAAATGCTTGGTACATGAGCTGCGGAGCATCTGTCACCTGCAGGGCCACTCTCAATACTAACCTCCCGTTGGATCAACCAAAATCCGGAATGCTAAGGAATGCAATGCAACAAATAACTTGAACCCTAGAGTTTCAAGAATTGGTAAGGGTGGCACCCCCCCCGTCCTCTGTAGCTGAGTGCAAGGTACTCCGGTTGTCCCACAACACAAAATCGCCTGGAGACCACTCGTGCACATAGGCTGCAAGCCTAGATGTCCCAGGAAGCAACACCTGCTCCAACGAATCTCGGGCTTCTTCCACCGTCATACCTAGCAACAAGGTGGCGATTCGAGAAAAAAAACGATGTGAGCATTGGCATGTGCTCCTTTTCCGATTTTTTGGTGATCTTTGGACTTTAGAAGCTTGGTAGGCTCAGCAGGAGGTTGGCCCACCGTCCGCCATATTTCACACCCTTGGCAGGTGAAAAACCCTCCCTGCTGCGTGTGGAGCGGTGATCACACCTACTCCCATCCTACTCCCATCCCAAAAGAAGGATACAGTACATTGCAAGCGCTCGCGAGCGCCCGCACTCGGTTTATCTTTTGTCCTTTCCTTTCTTGTGCCTTTTCTCGAATGACCTCCCTGCGTAGATTGTTAAAACAATGTTTGCACTAAGACTGGTGGTCGGATCGGCTGGTGGCGCGCTCCCAGGCTCACTCCCGCAATGGCCAAACGAACGTTTTGTTTCTCGGTTCTTTTCCATGATGTTGGCGATGCCCCCCAGGGTGCCCAACATATCCGGCACCCTGGGGGACCAAAAACTAATATATTAAATATATGCCCTGCAAGCCGCGACCACAAGGTCAAAAGCGGCAGGTGCCGTCTCTCTCTCTCTCTCTCTCTCCTCCTGAGCTTTACCAGGAGATGACCATTTACTGGGACGCCTCAAAACTGGATCCAATTGGTGTGTGTGTGTGTTTTCCTATGTTTGCAGGGTGGCTGTCTCGGTGCCAAGATGCCTTCACCACTCTCCAGGAAAACAGGCATGGTCCAAAGTGTGTGGCGCTTCGTGAAGGGATGCCTCCGAACGGGTGAGCCATGAAAGGGCAAGTATCTCCGAGGATTCGTCTGCTCCTGGCGTCGGCTCGCGCGCGTTGCACAAAACGCCCCGCGCGTTGCACCAAACGCCCGCGGCGGCGTTTTGTGTCTCGCTGTTGGGTCCAAGTGTGACTCGGAATGGTCCGTCCGATCCAACAAGCTTAGGACTCAAAACCAGCAGAGTTCCAATACATCAATCATCCACGTCCAGTCGACGGCTCCACTGGAGCATGATTCTGACCCGAACACCTTCTCGGCCTCCTTTACCCTATCCGTCTTTTTGGCTGATTAGCATCGCAGTTTGCAACTTTGAAAGTCCACGTCGTTTTTTTCCGGCTGGGCAGAAGGAACCGATCCGCCGTGCCTCGCTTCCCTCCCTCCCGTAGCCTCGCGTCGCCGGAGCTCCTGAGGCTGTGCAGCAGGACGTGCTATAGTGAAAGACCAAAAAGGCCGAGTTCTTTCATTTGAGGATATATTATCAAGATCCAGGCGAGTGCCCCCCCAAAAAACGGTTGTTCCATGATGTTCAATGTTCTTCCTCAAAAAAGTGTTTCAAAAAGTAATGGATGGTGGTGAGTTGCAGAGTGAGCCGGTGGCTGGGTACAATAGAATGTGCTCGATGAAGTGCACAAAATTGGATATAAAACCAGGGAAACGTAGAATATATTGTTCTTGTTCTTGGTCGTCACGTTCCTATATATATATATATATCCATTGGCTGGTAGCTCAGTTGTTAATGTTTTTTTCCCCTCTATCAGGTATGTAAGTAAGCCTTTTTCCGAAGCTATGTCTGCCAACATTCACGTGGGCAATTCTCGTATAGAATCTCGCCATGCGTTTTAATTTGCATTCAGCAAGCGTACTCGGATGCATGCAATGGGGATGTGGCTTTCTGTAAATCATTAACACAGTTAGATGCAGAATCATTGCACAGGTAACGGCACTCCAAATGGGCAATCCAGGCTAAGCACAACTCTCAAAACCCAAATGCTAATGCAAAGAATATATAATATAACCCTCTAAAGACCTAAAACCCTGAACACCAGCAGCTCTTGGGATTTCCGGCTCTGGGCGCTCCAAACCTCTGGAGACCGCGACAGGATCCACCTGGACAGGGCGACCCCTCTCCTCTGCTGTCAGCTGTTCCTTTGCCACCAGCTCCATGAGCTTCAACCCGTTGGGGCTCATCCGCCCGCCCCGGCGGTAGATCTCTGCCACCGAGGCCTCCATGGTGTGCTTGGGGCCGAAGTGGAGCTTCATCCTGAGTGCTGCAGTGGGGCAAACTGGGCAAAACTGCTGGCAATAAGGCTTCGGCTGTAGAATGCTGTAGATATTCAATGATATTCAGGGACAACCCACCAAGTATCGAAGTGACTGAGAACCCCTCAAACGTAAGTTGGAGCTAGAAATGCACCAACAGGCTCCATATCGAGAGTGGGGCCTGTGTGCCCTTTGGCAAGCCTTTGGGAGCGCCTACATTCCTCAACTTGGAAACTGTCACGGCATCGATGGCCTAAAACCTGTCAGGTCATAGCATTCTTCCCCGTGATAAAATCCGTTTTTTACAAAAAGAGGATACTACAGGTAACTAGCATTCTCGGCGTGTCCGACTGGCCTCACAAGGCTTGCCAGAATGGACAGCCATTTGCAGGCTTTTCCACAAGGAACGCAAACAGCCAATTTGCCAGACACCCGAAAAGCAGGCGAGCATCTCCAGCGCTTTTTGCTTCATCTGGTCATCCAGAATCTCCCAGGCATGGTAACCATTGGCCCAAATCGTGGTCCTTTTGACCTCTCCTCCTGGCACCAGGCACCAGTGCATTACTACTAGTAACAAGAAGCTACTAGTAGCTAAGTGCATCTACTACTAGCAAGGACGCTACTGTTACTGTTCAAAGCGTGGTTCTTTTGATCTCTCCTCCTGGCACTAGTAACCAGTGCATTACTACTAGTAACTATCTCTCGATGCGGACGCTCACCGTGAAACGGTGTCCGCATTGTGCAGGACACTCCGGTCTATGCACAACAAATGACCCCACAAAAATGAACCAGTCACGGAGACAGGGGGATCTTCCAAGATGCTAAGGATCGCCCTGCACCTTGTGTGAAGAGCCGTGCAATCTGTACACGTCCAGCGTCGGAAACAAAGGGAATGGCCCCTTCGATGCAGCCCTGCGGAAGGACTCGGCCACAACAACGGGGCTTGGTGGTATTGAAAATGCCAGGATGTGCCTGAGCTTTGTCATCATGATTCAAGTATTGCAGAATATCCCGCACCGTCCTGTAGATGTCGTGATATGTAGTCAGGTCTCTGTCTTTAACGAGTCTGAACCCAGAAAAGTCAAAAATGACCGCAAGTTCGTTGAAGGAGAATGACTGACTATCATCGACCATCCACCTGAGTTGGCGCAAGAAGGAAATCGTCTCATGCCAATCTTGTGCTTCCCCGCTCCACCTCGGGGGGGGAGGGTAATGGTTGGGAATTTTGGGCGCCCAGGTGTACAAACTTCTCGGGGAGCTCCAAAGCCACGATGGAAATCTCCGTTGACAAGAAGCGACACTAACTTCCTCGGCAGGTTGGTCGCACTTCGGTTCAACCAGCCTGTCCGGTTGATGTGTTGGCAAAATCTCATGGAGATCAATGAGCCAACGTTGGTGTTTCTGCAACGCAACTGTGACTTCCGCTTGAACTTCGGATACAACGACAGCCGTTCTGTTGGCAAGGCTCTTTGCCGCTGCATCGACCAATCTGTTATGCAGGATATGCTCAAGAGTGGTTTGTCGACTGGCTGCGAGCTCTGGAGTCAAATATTCAACTGGTATGCCCTCAAAGCAGTGAGCTGGGATCCAGACAATTTTGAAAGGTGTGTCACATTGTTGTCGACGGAGAGCAACAACCCGTTGTAGGAAGCACCACCAAGAATGGCAAGTCCAATCACGTCC